ACAAACGAGGAAAAAAAAAAAAAGGCAACCTGCTCTACTGAAAACTCATCAAAGAATTAAGCTGGCATCATAGCCTTTGCCCCAGAAAAAACCACCTCAACAAGACCACACCCCTTGGCACTGTGCCCCGTTTGCTGCCTCCCTCCCAAGCAGGGCCCCCACGACTATCAGCAGCGGGGCGGTGCCCACCTGAGTACACGGTCTCCGTCTGCCAGTAGTTGAAAGCAGCGATCCAGGCCTCGAAGTGGTGGGCCTGCCATGAGTCCACTGCCTGCAGACCAGGCCCAGCCTCGTTCACCGTCAGCAGGTGGAGCTGCCCCTTGGAATCACTGCTGATAATTTTCAAGGGCTGGCCACTGGCCCTAGACACAGAGAGCCAATGGGAAAACCCATGACCCAAACCCTCACCCTCTTCTGGGTCCCCACCCGAAACACTCTGCACCCCCACGACATGTCACAGCAGAGGTTCCCCACGAACCATGTCCATGAACACACCACCCCTTAAGAGGCTTACTTGGGTATTTGGCAAACTTCAAAATGGCCATGTGCCTTGTCAAAAGAACTCAATACCAGTTTCTCTTAATGAAAACATCATCACCATTAAGCTAGAAAAGTAGAATTTTTTCTTTTTAGATCAACACCGACAGCAAGATTAACGTAGGACGACTTTAACTTCCTCTGGCATGAAAACTCAAACGGGTCCTCAGAGGAAGACTTGCCCCTCCCCTGACACTCCTTACCTTCCAGTCTTCCCAGTGGACCAGTCCAGGGACAAGGCCAGACTCTGCTCCCCCAGGACGAGGCTGGAGAACGGCCACAGTGCACAGGCAGTCTTCTACCGGCGAAAAAAGGAGCTCTATCAGGGAAACACCTGGGCCTGAAAGGATTCTTCTAGAATGCCAGGAAGTCAAGGCTTCCTCACTGACTCCCAGCGTGAGTGACATGTGCTAGCGCTCCAACATCCCTTGCACAGAGCAGAAACTGAGGACTTTTAGGGACTAGTCCTGCCCTCCAGGAGCTCACACACCTGTAAAACTTTCCTACACACGTTACCTTGAGGAAAAGAACGTCTCCCTGCTCATCAGGCCAACTCGTAGTCCGTACACTCCTCAGCACCACTCTGATGCCAGACAGGCTCCAGGAACCATGGCCAGTCCACGCTCGACCACCCCGGGCCTCCAGGATAACCATGGCTGGCTCATGCTTGGCCACCCCAGGCCTCCAGGAGACCACGGCCGGTCCACGCTCGACCACCCCGGGCCTCCAGGAGAACCATGGCTGGTTCATGCTTCGCCACCCCAGGCCTCCAGGGGACGACGGCCAGTCCAGGCTCGACCACCTCAGGCCTCCAGGAGAACCATGACTGCTTCATGCTTGGCCATCCCAGGCCTCCAGGAACCATGGCTGGTCCACGCTTGACTACCCTGGGTCTCCAGGAGAACCACGGCTGCTTCATGTTTGGCCACCCCAGGCCTCCGGGGGACCACGGCCAGTCCAGGCTCAACCACCCCAGGCCTCCAGGAGAACCATGACTGCTTCATGCTTGGCCACCCCAGGCCTCCAGGAACCATGGCT